ACACGCTATTTCATCAGTAAAGAAGCATACAGCACCCCGTCGAGGTCAGACCCAAACACCTGAAGAATCTACCACCAGTACTCGTCAATACGTTGGCTCAGCTCTTCACACACTACCTGTATGAATGCAAGGTTCCATCCCAATGGAAATCCAGCAGGACCATTCTGTTGTACAAGAAGGGAGACATCCATGACATTGGCAACTATCGCCCAATCTGTCTGTTGTCCGTCGTCTACAAGTTGTTCACTGGAGTCATCCTGAATAGAATAGGCAGAACATTAGATGAAGGACAATCATGTGAGCAATTCCGAAAAGGATTGAGCACAATCAACAATATCCACACGGTTACTGAGCTCATTGAGGTTTCTCAAGAGTTCAAGATGCCGCTCTGTCTAATGTTCATTGATTTAAAGAAGCCCTTTGATTCTGTTGATACTGAAGCAGTCATCGAAGCCCTAGCCAAAAAGGGGGTTCCAACTCAGTACATCAGGATCCTTCGTGAGCTGTATTATGTATTCACCACCAGGATTTCACCATTCTACAAAGAAGTGATCATTGACATAAAGAGAGGGGTTTGGCAGGGCGATACCGTTTCACCAAAACTCTGCAGTTTCTTGAGAACGTTATGAAATAACTGGAATGGAAAAAAATGGGAGTGAAGATAGACGTCGGCAACTACACCACCTCTGCTTTGCTGACATCGTTCTAATAACACCAAACATTAGCAGAGCAGCACAAATGCTGGCCGACTTCAACCGTGAGTGTAGAAAGGTCAAAATGCAGCTGAATCTCACCAAGACAATGTTCATGAAAAACGAACTAGTTCCTGATGTCCCATTTGCTCTCAATGGAATGAACATCTCCGGCTCCAAACACATCTTTTTAACTCCACCATTCTTCCTGCACTAACATAAGCCTCAGAGACCTGGGCCCTATGAAAACAGGATGAGAACGCGGGTTCCAGGGCCGAGACCTCCAAGCCTACTCAGATTGGAGTCGAGCATCTTCCATCCAGATCCTCCAAATTCCAGTAGGCGGGGGTCACACCCACCACCTGGCCCCCTGGCGCCGTGTAATCCCATCAGCGGCCAAGACTCAGAGACTATAAAATCCAGATCCCGGACGAGACCAGTGCAGTCTTCTGCCCCCGCGCCTGGCTGTTCCTCGCCGGGACCCCTTGGAGGGGAGCGGGTTGAGCTTTCCCCCCCGCCCCGGCCGGGGCTCCGGCAGCCGAAGACCTCCAGGACCAGCCACCACCATGCTGAGACCACTCTCCGCACACATGAAGGTACTGGCAGAGGGACAAAGCCACGCGGGTTCCGGGGCCGAGACCTCCAAGCCTATTCAGATTGGAGTCGAGCATCTTCCATCCAGATCCTCCAAATTCCAGTAGGCGGGGGTCACACCCACCACCTGGCCCCCTGGCGCCGTGTAATCCCATCAGCGGCCAAGACTCAGAGACTATAAAATCCAGATCCCGGAACCGCGCGGCCGCATTCACGGCCGCGCGACATCTTATCAGAACTTTTTTTATGACATCTTATTATCTCATTCCTACTTTGGACATACTTGCAGGCTATCGAATGTAGCCTGCCCACAGGGCAGAGTCTGGCAAACTCCCGGTGGCGTACCAAATATGCCAAATACCAGTAACAATGATGGGTCTCATTCTCCTAAAGAGCCGTGAATATAATCTCAGGGCTAGGATGAAAGAGACGTTACTGGGGCCTGCTCGAGGCAATCGACGAATAACAGGATGATGAAATGAAATGAAATGAAATTCTTCCTGCACTAACATAAGCCCCAGAGACCTGGGCCCTATGAAAACAGGATGAGAACGCTTTTTGGATCACCCAAAGAGGAATCGAAAGAGCTATGCTTGGAGTATCACGCTTAACTCAAGTGAGAGAAGGAATCTGGAGTTCCGACCTCCATCAACGATCGAAGATCAGGGATGCTGCATCATTTGCCAGCGTGTACGATAATACTATTTGGAGATGACTGCTGGACTAGAGTCGTTACCAACTGGATTCCACGGGACATCAAAAGAACACTTGGTCACCCACCTACAAGATGGCCAGACTCCTTAATCAAGACCCTGAGTAAAGAGTTTGATGCTCTTCATGTTCCTGAAGTGAGCAGATGCCATTGGGGTACACTAGCATGCAACAGAGTTGAATGGAGACGTTACTGGCGCCCGCTCGAGCAAATGGATGAACAAGTGATTACAACTGAGTTAATGGACGATAGCAAGAGTAACTACTTCCAAATCATAGAAATTCTGAATGGAGAAGAAAGAGAAAAGGGAAAGGATTATGTATGGAAATGTTAATAACCAAGAACTCCAGTGTGAGAAGATTTATGCACTGGTACAGAACGTCCAGAATTGCAAGCAAAATAAACTTAACAACATCAAGACATACTATAACCAAAATGTCAATAAACAGAAAAGGCACAGACTACTTAAAGTAGTCAAGAGGTATATGGGGAAAAAAAGGCTCTTTATCACCTATCAGGAAAATAAAAATGACAATGAAATATTATATCACACCAGTGAGTTTGACATACATCAAAAAGAAAAGAATAACCATTGCTGACAGGAATGTAGGAAAAAGAGAACCTCATCAACTCTTGGTTGGAGTGGCATCTGGATTAGCCTCTCTGGAAAGCATTATGGGGACTTCTCAAAAAGCTAAAAGTTAATTAAGTTGAACTTCCACCAATGCTACTTATTGTCGTCTGCCCCAAGAGCACAAAAACATTAATTCAAAAGGGTATTTGCACTCTAATGTTTATTTCAGTGCTGTTCAAAATAGTCAATATCTGGAAACAACCCAAGTGCCTAAGAACAGATGAATGTATAAAGAAACTCTGGAATGCTACTAAACTGTAAGAAAAGATTAAATCTTGCAGGTTGCTGATATGAGTACTAAACTGATGCTATGTGCGCATGAGGATGAATTGACTCAAGGAAGAATGAATTCCAAATAATATCTCTCATATGTAGGGTATAAAACAATAGTAGGAGAATAAAAAAATAGCTCATGTAGGGTTGGAGAAATACTAAAGCGTGCTTGCCTTGCATGTAGTTAGTCCAAGTTCAATCCCCAGAATCACATATGTTCCCCTGAGCTCTACCAGAAGTGATGCTTGACTACAGAGCCAGGAGTAAGTCCTGAACACAGGCAGGTGTGATCGCCCCCAAAACCAAATAAAATGGTCAATGATTACAGACCCTGAGAGTTGGCTACCAACTGAGTTGGTTGTGGTGAGAGGCAGGGATGAGAGGTGACCGAGGGACAGGTTGGAGGGATGCTGACATATGGTAGAGGGCGTGGTATGACAGCCTGAAACATCACTATAAACTGAATTGTAAATCACCTATAGATGCTTAGTATAAAATGTTTAAATAAGATAATTAAAAAATTATTGTTGAAAAATAAGGAAAATGTAAATGCACTCCTGCAAAAACTTTGTCTCTACTTTTGGGCATTATTGTTTGCAATACAGACACTGAGAAGTTATCATGCTTGGTCCTTTATCTACTTTCAGCACATATCTCCCATCCCGACTGGTTCCTCAAGCCATCATTTTTTTAGTGATCCCTTCTCTATTCCAGCTGTCTTCTCCCCTTTGTTCACTAGACTGACTTCCAGTAATCTTCCTGTCCTGTGTATCTACTATCCTTAGGTGTCAGCCTCATGTTATGTTGTTTTATACTCCACAAATGAGTGCAGTCCTTCTATGTCTGTCCCTCTCTTTCTGACTCATTTCACTTAGCATGATACTCTCCATGTCTATCCATTTATAAGCAAAGTTCATGACTTCATCTCTCCTGACAGCTGCGTAGTATTCCATTGTGTAGATGTACCAAAGTTTCTTTAACCAGTCATATGTTCTAGGGTACTTAGGTTGTTTCCAGATTTTGGCTATTGTGAATAGTGCTGCAATGAACATATAGGTACAGATGTCATTTCTACTGTGCATTTTTGCATCCTCGAGATATATTCCCAGAAGAACACCACATTTTTGAAAAAGAGAATTTCCTTCTTCCCATGACCATCTAATCTAAATAAACAAATAAACTGTCTTGGTTTGCTCGGTGGGGAGGCATAGTTGTCTCCAATGACTTGACAAAGAAGTCTGCTCTTTCTGTAATAATGGTAGAGAAAGAAAGCAGGAAATATCATATGAATCCTAAGTTGATCAGACCGTTAGTCAAGGGACATTCATGCTAAATTCCTTCCAGGAGACTTGGTCAGCACCCAGTGATATAGGATTTTTTCCATTGATTTTCTTAAGATTTATGATGATCTCACTTAAGACATTGGTGTGAAAATATATATGGAACATGATGAAAATAGAACATGTTTATGGGGCAAGCTTGAACTCTTCTAGTTGATTAAAAAAAAAAACTCACTGTGTGCAGAAGCAAATTCTTCCTGAAAGCTCATGTATAACTAGTGTGCAACCAGATAAAGATCATTATTCCTGGTGTTACTCTAGGTTAATTTAAATATATTCTTTAAATACATCTAAAATATAAAATTCAAGAAAAAGTCAAGTTATAACAGCAAAAAAATAATATGTATATTCTTTATAGCTCATAATCTTGCAACATAAATCAGCATCTTTTGCTTTTTAAGGATACATTTGGAACACTAATGATGCAAGAAATACTATCTTCAACTCCCGAACACAAAAGAACACCACCAGCTAGTAAGCACTGCACAGAGCATATATAGACATCACACAACAAAGTTTGGCTATGAGTATTCATTGTCAGGTTGTTGACTTCCTTCCATCCTGAAACAAAACCCCTGTTGCATCTAGGACCTTAGAAATGTTTTATGCTGTCTTATTAGGAAAAAAAAACCCACCATGATGGAAGTGTTGAGGCATGGACATTTTTCTGTGAATAATGAAACCACAAATTTATTTTTCAGCCCTTTATAGGTAGGTCTTCCTTTTCTAAACATTTGTATTTTTTGGTTCTTCAGGACAAGCCAATCAAGATCCAGTCAAAGTTGCTGAATCCATCATTGATGCCATTGAAGACTTTATCATGAAGGGTTCTGTCCAGTCCATGAAAAAAGTTAAAGTTGTTTTGTTTCAACCTCAATTACTAGAAATATTTTATGCCAGCATGAAAAAAAGAGAAGGACCTCAGGTTTCTCCACAACAATCTATATCTAAAATTGCATGTAAGTTATTATCTTATGCATGTTTCTAATATTAATATCACATAACATATAGGTAGCATTTCCAAAGTATCAAAAACAAAAATTAAGAAATCAATCTAATGTATAATTATATAAAACAGAAAAATGTCTAGTAATAAAACTCTGGAAATAAAAGAATTACCTATATACTAAAAGGTATAAAACTTCGATCAAAGAAATAATAGATGAAATAAAGGAAAATATATTACTATCACTCTAATTACAATAGACAACATTGTTCAAAAATTTACACTATATAGATCAATCTACAGATTCAAGGCAATCCCTTGAACCTGTATAAAATACTTCTATGGGATTTTTCATATAATAGAGCAAGCAATCTTAAAAGTTGTGTGGGACTATTAAAGACCAAAATAGTCCCAAAAAAGAATAAGCAATAACAAAACATTATACCTCATAATTTCTAATTTTACTTTATGCTAAAATTAATTTGTAACATATGAAAGTTAATTTTAAATATGATATTAATTTTATATAACACTATAGTGTATTAATATAGTTAATTTTTGTTTTATTAAATAGTAATTTTCATATGATGTTGATATAAATACTGACACATAAGTCAATTTAACCATAGAGACAACCTATAAATAAGCCACTCAAGCATGTAAGATCATTCATTTATAACAAAGTAACTAAAAAATATATAATAAAGGTAAAAAAAAGGTAAAGGCCCTCCCGTTGGTTGTCGATTTGCTCGAGCGGGCCCAGTAATGTCTCCATTGGAGACTTTGTTGTTACTGTGTTTGGCATATCGAATACTCTTGGTAGCTTGCCGGGCTCCCCGAGAGGGGCAGAGGAATCAAAATTTTCTTCAATGAATAATGTTGAAAAACTAAGTAATCATATGCAAAAGAATTAAATAAAACTCTTACACACACACACACACACACACACACACACACACACGACCAGATGATTTTTTTCAGTGCTGGTGATTCTAGCATACAAGACATGCACTTTAACGTGTAGTCACATTCTTTCCCTCAAAATTATTTTTGATTGCAACTTAAATGTATGCCAAGAAACCATAAAATGATCAGAAAAGAATGGGTAAGTCTGAGACATTGGTCATGGCAGTGATTTTCATAGTTGACACCAAAATCAAAAACAACAAAAGCAAAAACTAAGTGGAACTACAGCTAACTAAAGTACTTCGATATGGCAAAGAAACTATACTCAGACTAGAAAGGTAACCTACAAAACAGGAGAATATATCACAAATCATATATCTGATGAAGAATTAATATCCAAAATATGTAAGAACTAAAACTACTCAATAAACAACAATCTGATTCAAAAATGGGCATTGGAGGGATGGGTGTTAGAACATTGTATGACTAAAACTAAATCATGAAAAGTTTTGTAACTGTGTATCTCATAGTGATTCAATTTAAAAAAATGGGCAGTGGATTTGAATAAAAATTTTCATAAAGAGATGGTCAGCATATACATAAAAGGGTGCGTAACATTACAAAAGGAGTAAATGCAAACCAAAACCATACTCAGATCTCACTATAAGAGCCATTATCAGCTAGATAAGAAATAATAAGTGTTGGTGAGGTTTTAAAGAAAGGATGCCTTGTGCATTGTTGGTGGGAACACAGATTAGTGAAGCTGCCATGGAAAATAGCATTGTCATTCTCAAAATCAAAAAGAAGTGTCATGTGAGCCTACAATTCCACTAGTAGAAATTTATCCCACTGTTAGGATAAAGGACATTATATGTCTGTTTACGTATGTGTGTATCACTGTATCACTGTCATCCTGTTATTCATCAATTTTCTTGAGTGGGCACCAGTAACGTCTGCATTTGTCCTAGCCCTGAGATTTTAGCAGCCTCTCCTTACTTGTCCTTCACAATGGTGCTGCATAGGAGACTCTTTCGGGGTCAGGGGAATGAGACACATCATTGTTACTGTATTTGGCATATCTAATATGCAACAGGAGCTTGCCAGGCTCTGCTGTGCAGACAGGATACTCTCGGTAGCTTACCAGGTTCTTCAAGAAGGAGACTATAAGAGGTTGTGCGGCCCATATGTGGAAGCTTCGTTTTATAGTCTCTGGATCTTGGCCGTTGATGGGATTTCATGGTGCTGGGGGCCGTTTGTGTGTGTAACTGCCTAGCTACTGGAAAATGGGGGATCTGAGTGGAGGAGGCCCAGCCCCAATTCGAGCAGGCTTGGAGATCTCAGCCCTGGGACCCACGCACCTGGGTTCCTCTGCCAGTTACTTCATGCATGAGGCTCGTCCGAGTGTTTGAAGAGTGACCTTGAGCATGGCTGTGGCTGGGTATGGGAGGTCTGCAGCTGCTGGTGCTCTGCTCACGGCAGGGAGGAAAACTCACCCTGCCTCCCTCTGAGGGGCCCAGGTGAAGAAAGCCTGGCTCACAGGCAGGAGACTCTGCATCGCTCTCTGCTGGGAGCTTTGTTCTTTAGTCTCTGCATCTTGGCTGTTGATAGGATTTCATGGCGCTGGGGGCCATTTGTGAGTGTAACTGCCTAGCTACTGGAAAATGGGGGATCTGAGTGGAGGAGGCCCAGCCCCAATCCGAGCAGGCTTGGAGATCTCAGCCCTGGGACCCACGCACCTGGGTTCCTCTGCCAGTTACTTCATGCATGAGGCTCATCCGAGTGTATGAAGAGTGACCTTGAGCATGGCTGTGGCTGGGTATGGGAGGTCTGCAGCTGCTGGTGCTCTGCTCACGGCAGGGAGGAATACTCACCCTGCCTCCCTCCGAGGGGCCCAGGTGAAGAAAGCCTGGCTCACAGGCAGGAGACTCTGCATCGCTCTCTGCTGGGAGCTTTGTTCTTTAGTCTCTGCATCTTGACTGTTGATAGGATTTCATGGCGCTGGGGGCAGTTTGTGGGTGTAACTGCCTAGCTACTGGAAATGGAGCATCTGGGATCTGGGGGCAGGTTGAGTTTTCCTCCCCATAGCCGAACAGAGTCCCGGCAGCCACAGACCTCCGGTACCCAGCCACAGCCATGCTCAAGGCCACTCTCCACAAACTCGGATGAGCCTCATGCATGAAGGAACCAGTAGACCAGCAGAGAAACCCAGGTGCGTGGGTCCTGGGGCTGAGATCTCCAAGTCTGCTCAGATCGGGACTGGGCTTCCTCCACCCAGATGTGTGTATAAATAAACTAAAATATTACTCATCCATTTTAAAGGATGCCAAGATGTGGCTCAGTTGTAGAGTGTGTGCTTTACATGCTTGAGGCAAAGAGTTCAATCCCAAGAACTGATATTGTTAGTCTTAATGCCACAACAAGTACAAACAAATGTGCGAGACCTCAGTAAGCATGTGACTCTGGACGTTGTAATGACATTATAATGAAGAAAAGAAGAGGGATTATTCATGTTATTTGTAGCAATAGGAAAGGACCATGGAAAGGACTATGAAGGAATGATGCTAATTGAAATAAGTCTAACAGAGGGCAAATATTGTATTATTTCACTTACATGTACAATTTGGAAAAAGGACTTAACTTATAAGTTAAGTATTAACTGTGTTAACTCATAAATACAGAGAAAACATTGGTGGCTTCCAGAGGAAACAGATGGGAGGTAAACAACATGGATGGACAGGATTTGGCAGTGTAAACTTTCAGTTATAAAATAAGTAAGGTAAAGATGTGTGCCTTGGTAAGGAAAAATTTAATGATCTAACCTCACCTTTATTCCTTTTTTAATATAGCACATTTGGCCTATGTAAAACAATTTTTCCCAGAAAAAAATCCCTTGTTTTTGGAAAAACAAACTGAAATGGCCGTTTTTCAAGTGTGTGGTGACAGTATAAAACGTGTGGAAAGTGCCCTCTCCTGGATACAGAATCTGATTATAAAGGAGCAATATTCTTGTATCAGTGAAGATGAATGTATCAAAGACTTTGATGAAAAGGAGTGCTTTCAGAGGGGGGGTAAGTGAGGCCCCGCCCCACCCTAAGGAACCCAAGCCCAGAAGCCAAAAACCTCCAGAACTCAACTACCACCATGCTCACAGCTGCTATCCACACACTCGGGTCAAGCCTTACCCATAAGTGAATCCACAGAAAACCCAGGTATGTGGGATTTGTGACTGAAAACGCCAACTTCAATGGAACAGGGAATGGGTGAACTCCCCCCATCTCCCCCTGTTTTCAACAACTTAGCAGTCACACCCACAAACCACCTCTGACTGGCGGCAGACAATCTCAACTGCCATGATGCAGGGACTCATAAATTCTCTCAGAAGAAAGCATAAAACAACTGGCCATATCCATGCCACCGGACCCCTTGACAGACTGTTTCATTAGGGCACCCTGGAGGAGGGCGGGTGACTCTCCCTGCCCCAAGGGATACAGCCCCAGCTGCTAAAATCTCAACCGCTCCATGCCCATGTCCATTCTTCACAAGCTCAAGCCAAGCCTCACCCATGAGTGAACCTATTCCTGGACATCTCATACCTCACACCACTAATATTCCAAGAGCAACACACCACATTTGATGGGGCTTAAAGTAGAGGTAACCAATTCTATAGGGAAATATTTTTTACATATATATATACATATATACATATATATATACACTCAAAAGGCTCAATCTTTAACAACATATTAATGATCTCTTATAGAATGGCTCAATGGCCCCTATGTGAAATACAACAATCTTCACACACTTTCCTCAAAGGAAATGTTTTTGAAGCACTTTCAGTGATTTATTCATAATAAACAATACAAAATAAATTATTTCAGTTCAGCTTTGGGGCAGAGATTGGGATTTGGATGGAAACCTCAAAAATACAGTGGTGGGAAGGTGTAATGGTGGTAGGAGTGGTGTCCGAATATTAAATGTAATCAAATATTGTGAACTGTATAAAATACTGTATACAAATAAAATTAAATTTAAAAAAGAACTTGAGTGCAACAACTATAAATATACGTATGTTAACTTTCAACTTAATATCAATTCCTATAGACTGTGATACATTTTTTTAACTTTCATTGTCTCTGGGTATTTTTTAATTTCTCCTTTAATTTTCTAACTTACTCAGTGTTTGTTTAGATAACTGTTGTTTAGCCTCCACATATCAAAATTTTATATCAGATGTGTTATCCAACACGAGTATAGCTCTACCTGCTATTGTAAGCTAGACAGCTACAGGAGGATGAGGGTGATGTCCGAACAGTGGGTGTGAGCTTCGTGTCAATAGTGATCACAGGTAGGTACAGCAAGAGAGACTGTCTAGGTCTCCGGATGCAATCAATCAGAAAAGTGCCTGCCTCACAAGCTGTTCTGTGCGTCTTCTCTCGCCTCTGACTAGAGGCAGGAAACACTAGGTCAGTGTCTCTCAACCTTTTTCAGAGTGTGATCCCCAACCAACCTTGTTTCTTTTCCATGCCCCCTACCTCATCCTACTGGTTGTCACCCTAGTCTCATGCTATGCTCCCTCATTTATAAGATTTTCATCTGTGGCCCTCTTGAAATATCCTGGGCATCCACAAGAAGCCACATGGCCTCCAGTTAAGAAATGCTGTTGCTGTGTGAACACAAACCCAGCAGTGGCCCCAGGTGTGGCTAGGACAGATGCTCCCCAAGGCCAGAAACAGAAGAGAGCATCCTTATGAGGAGGCCTCAGGTATGACTTGTTCAGCTCCGAAGTTTCATACTTGAATCTCCCCTGCCACTAGGACTCTAGCTGCATGCTTCAGGAGTCACGGCCTAAGTTGTCAGTCCCCATCTTGGACAAGAGATGAACTAGCAACTGTGGGAATAATCTGCTGGCCTGAGGCACCCCAGAGACAAGAGTTTATCTCCCCCTCAGCCCTAGCTCCTTGACTGTTGCTGGTGCATCTGCAGTTATCGGCTCTCTCTGTCCACTTCCCCCAGTTCTGCCACTATGGACCACTATTCCCAGTGTCTCCTGGTTTCTCAAGGACAGTCTCTCTGTTTAGTCCATGCTGACTGCCCCCTCCCTCTGGTAAGTCAGTGTTTGAGAGTCCCCAATAATCTATTACAGTTATCCAGACTTTCTCACAGTCCCCTCATCTCTCCCTAAAAGCTCAGGACTCCCCAAGGCCCGTGATTCACTTCCTTGGTCATTTAGTCAGCATACAGGTATTTACTCCTCCCCCAATAAATTATATTTTAAAATGTAATTACAACTTCCTAATTATTTTTATTGGTTGCTACTATTATCCTACTCTTGAGTTATTTGTATGTATTTATTGCACGACTGAGCATACAATTGCATAACTGTTTCTCTCTTTTCTACCCTGGACTTGGTGATGGCACACTGACAGCTTTCAATCTGCCACAGAGGTCTGTTTTGTTTGCTTTCTCGGGGGCTGCACATGTTACTGTGCTCACATCTTACTCCTGGATCTGCGCTCACAGATCACTCTTAGTGAGCTCTGGAGACCACATGGGGTGCTGGAGATCTAGCCCTGGTCAGCAGGGAGGGCTGAGAGAGGGCAAGGGCAAACACACTGTGGGGGCGGGGGACACAAGGTCAACAATTGAATATGGTCTAAACAAGGTAGCAAGGAAGACAGAAACTTCACAGGCTGATAATGTTTAATAATCCACTCCTTCCAGAATTTTCTGTCCTTGGTTTTCAAGACCTGTCATCCTAATCTTTTGGCTCCTTCCTGGTCCACCCAAGCAAGAATGATGAGCAGATTTCTATGACAAGATATAGCTCTGTAGCACTGTCCTCCCGTTGTTCATCGATTTGCTTGAGCGGGCACCAGTAACATCTCACAACAAATTGTGAGACTTATTGTTACTGTTTTTGGCATATCAAATATGTCATGGGTAGCTTGCCAGGCTTTGCCGTGAGGGCTATTTACTCTCCATAGCTTGCCGGGCTCTCTGAGAGGGGCGGAGGAATCGAACTCCGGTTGGCCATGTTGGCTGCATGCAAGGCAAACGCCCTATCTGCTGTGCTATCGCTTCAGCCCTGAAAAGATATATTGATGACAATTAAACAATCCTTGGGGAAAAGACTAAAGTGTGAATTAAAAGTTCTCACTATAAGTCACTTGCCTTAGACATGGCCAACCATGCTTCAATCCCTGGCACCACTTGAGGTCATCAGTAGTGATTACTGAGGCAGGAATAAGTCCTGAACACAGCCTGGAGGGGCTCCAACCCTCAAATAAAAATAAATCAAGTGGTTTAGTTTCTGTAAACTGATATGTGTGGAAAAACAGAAAATTTGATTGCCCAGTGCTAGACCTTCAAACTCTAACAGACAGAGACAGAGAGAGAACAATGTCTGCCATAGAGGCAGGCTGGGGGGCAGGGGGTTGGGGGTGATAGGAAGGAATCCGAGGATACTGGTGCAGGGAAATGTACTCTGGTGGAGGGATGGGTGATGGAACCCTGTGTGACTGAAACCTAAAATCGTGAACAGCTTTTAAAGGTCTATCTCACAGTGATTCAATTTAAAAAATAAATATTTTCAAAAGGCCCAAACTCAAATAGGCCCACGCTGATTTTAGTTGTGGTCGAAGGAAATAGCGCCATCTGGTGGCTGAGAGGAGGCGCTGGCTGGCCCTTCTGTGCCCTTCTGGGATCCCCTGAGGTGGCGCAGACCTCAGGATGAATGCCATCCTCAATTGGAAAGCTGGGCAGAGGGGTGGGGGTGGGGGGAAGCATTATTCTGGGCCACGAATAAGAAGTCCAGAAAACTCCATCTCTTCCCATGTGCAGGTTCAGCTTCAACGTAGTTATGAAACTCCAACCCTGCTGGGAAGTCGCTGCGATCCCTGAAAAGGCCTTCCTCTTTCCTCAAGGAGAAAGTCATCTGCGGGGAAGTCCCAACCCCGCCCCCCACCACCACCAGATTTGCCTGTTTCTGTACCTCCTCTCTGCTTCCTGGTGCAGTGAGAAGAGGGGCCCCTTCCCGAGGCTCGGGTGCCTCCAAGAATTCTTCCAATTTCTCCCACGCCCCAATCTCCACCTGCCCTCCCTTTCTCCCAGCGTTGGGGAGAACCGCCCTTCTCCATGCACATTCCTTTAAGCAGCCTGAAAATGAGCCACACCCCAGATGCCACCGGGCGGGGGGCGCAGGGCTTTGCGGGGACACCTGCCTCCTTCCCCAGGGTCCCGGGAGCCCGCGCGGCTTTATGAGCTCGGGGACACTAAACTCCTCTCGGGTGCTCGCGGCCTCCCAAAGGCTCCAGAATAACCATGACTCTCCCGCTTCCTCTCCCTTCTTGTCATTTAACGCATCAAAACAGGATGCAAAGGAAAGAAAGCAAGGTCGGGTTCTGAGCTTTAAATGGCTTCAGAAAGGCCCCTCCCCGACCAGTTCCTGAGCCTTGCAAACATTTTGCCTGGCCGTGTGTCTTGCTGGTGAGACCCCAGTTCGCCTTTGACCGACGGTGTCTGTGCGGGTCTGGGGGCCCACAGTGCTGCACGCGGGGGATCCTGGCCCGGAACCCCGAACAAAGTGGCCGGATGACCCCGGTGGAGGACCTAGGTGTGACTGTCAAAGGTCTGGAGCAAGTTCCATTTCCAGGAAACGAAACCGAAAGGGCTGCGGGGGCACCCGCTGGGTCCAGGCCGGCGCCGCTGTCGGACCGCGGCGCAACGCCGGGATGGCCGCTCCCGGCTCCTTCCCGCTGCTGGTCGAGGGCTCCTGGGGCCCCGAACCCCGCGGAACCTGAGCACCTGGGAAATTTTCATGCAAACTATTGCAGAGGGAGAGGTCAGTTAAGGCAGCCGGGAAGGGAGTGGACAGGGCAGGGGGGCGACTGAGTGCAGGTGGTGATGGTGGTGGTCTGGGGCTAGTGCTGGTGACAGTACCTTCAGGCTGGCGTGAGAAGAGCGCCCGCTGGCGCTCATGCTGGTAGGCAATAGAATAGAATTTGCACTTGTTCAGGTAAGAAGGAAAAGATCTTGGGACATTTTATCAGATGTGGAAGTGGGAGTCCTTTTATTAAAAACAGAAGAGAACTGGATCGGAGCGACAGTACAGCGGGTAGGGACTTGCTTTGCACACGGCTGATCCAGGTTCTATCCCTGGCACTTCTATGGTCCCCCGGTCCATCCAGGGGTGATCCCTGCTCACAGAGCCAGGAGTGAGCCCTGATTATCGCTGGGTGCAGGTAGACACTCGAACAAAACACTGGATGATGCCTCCCTCTTGGTGAAGTTGTTGGGGTAGATTATGCTGAGAAAAGTTTGGTGGAGATCACAGCCCCGGCTTGAATGACAAAGAGAATGAAACGGTGCTGTGGAACCATGGTTAGGGTTCTGGAACCTGAGGCCAGGCTGGTGTTCACAAGAAAAGAGATAGAGGAATAAAACAGTTTTACTCAGACGCCTTCACCGAGAAAGTAGATGGTGGACTTGTTCCCAAAACCCACCTTACTCTGGGGCATGGAGTTTAGAAAAGGCTTTGGAAGCAGCAGGCAGCAAGAAGGGGTAGAGAGCAGCATCCTGCTGAGGCTCTGGGGACACCAGCCTGTGCAGAAACCTCCACTGCAGGGCTCTGTTCAATCTGCCTGGGGGTCTGTTGTCTGTGTGACAGTATCTGAAACTGCATCTATTGCCTGTCCTTTTCTCTGTTTCTGATTGACTCATCAATTAGCACGAACACATCATTTACGCAAACATTTCTTAATATTAGGAGAAAGGAAGAGCAAGGGGTGAGAGAAAGATCTAGAAATTCTGTGGACAACAAGATGGGGTTTATAATACCTACTCCTATACACTTTACCCACAGTGGGCAGGAGAGAGACCGATGGGAATCCACTTTAGGGAACTGAGTGTTTTCAGTGTGTGTGTCGGGGGTGGGGTGGAGAGACACACTGATTTCTGCTGGGACAGACAGTGGCCATCACAGCTTTTAAGAGACTCAATCTGTATTCCAAGGGAAGACAAAGTGGCAACTTGAGCAGTGCAAGACAAGTGTGGGGTGAAGATCCGCGTTTGTGCACTGTTCTGGACCTGTACCTAAACCTAAAGGACAGTCACTGCTCCACTGGAGAGAGGGGAGGCAGAGTCCTTGACTGTGAATTTTAGGTGGGTGGGAAGGAGGAGCTCCCTCCCGTGTGCAGTTGCTGTGCTTTGGGAAGGGAAAAACAACACCCTTGGTCAGGGTCCTTCCGGGTCGGCCTGGGATCAGGGACAGCTACTCCCAGAGCAGCCGTGTTCCAGTGGGATCTCCTGGTTAGGCTTGTGTAAACCACTGACCCTGCCGCCATGTCCTGCAGTTAGAGAATCTCCTGGTCAGAAGAACCACAATGAAACTTATAGGACCATGATAACCATGGAATGTTCTAGGTAGGACTGAAACAGGGAAATGAAACAGAAACAGGAGCGCAGTGCCCAGAGAAGTTTGGAGGCCACTGAGTAGAGGGCAAAAGACCTGCTTGGCCCAGAGCCGTGTGGAGACAAAGTCGGGGTCCTGGGTGTGAAGGTAGAGAGAATGGGTCTCATGGCTACCACGTTTGAGGCTCTGGGTTCAATCTGGAAACTCAAATACATAAAATAGAACAAAAGTTCTCCCGCAATTGATCTCACCCAGGAAAGTCCAGAGACAGCAGTGCTATGTGAGTCATTTTCCTACTGTCGATATCAGCACAAACCCTGTTCCTGGGCACTTCCATCTTTGTCCACTCCCATTGTCCTCAGGGCAAAGCCTCTTGAGGGTCACGGAGCCCGTGTATCTGACTGACAGCAGGGTGAACAGACACAGACCTTGGGATCCCAGGGTGGAGGTAGGAAAGTACACTTTTAACCAGCACCCTGATGCACTCAAGTTGGAGAAACCCCTTTGCGTGTTGGGGAGTGAGTGGAAGGGAAATAATGATACAACCCACAGTCAGGGAGAGGAGTCCGGGCCCCAGTGTGGCCATAGTGACCTCATTCTGTTCTAGCCTCAAAGCAGAACTGAGTTCACACTCCCTCTGACCTTTCTTCACAGCTCCCAGCCCACCTCCCTTTCCTCCTAGGCAGCCCCCCAGGCTGCTCCAGTGACCCCTTCATGTTATCCTCACAGCACACACTGTTGTAATTTTCCTGTTCCAAGTTCTGAGAGGGTGGAAAAATCTCTTTTCCAGTTTAGCTTCCACCCAGAGGGGTCAATAAGTAGCAAGTTTGGGGGAACTTCTGACAGAGAAGGCCTCTGCTGCTGCCCAGGTCACGGTTCTCTCCTGCACGGAGGCCCTCCACCCTCCCCACCACTGAGCGTCCTCCACAGGTGAGGCTCAGGGTAGGGCAGGACTTTATCCCTGCTATTCGCCTAGTGGTAGTGAGCCCAACCACATGTGTGTGGAAACCAGTGCTAGAAGCAGAGACTGATAGGAAACTCTGTCTTAGAGCTACTGAATTTCTGAAAAGCTCAATGAAAAATGACATAAGATTTAAAGAAAAAATATTGAATTACAAAGCTACAAAGATATTTGTGATTGAGTTTTAGGTATACAATGTTCCAACACCAATCCCTTCAGCACTGTCCAATACTTTCCACCAACATCCCAGTTTTTCCCCCGCCCTACCCCAGCCTGTTTCTGTGGCAGGCACATTGCCCCTCCTCAATTTCCCTTCCCTAATATACCCCCACCAACCCTGCACAGTGGCAAGCTTCCGACTAAGGTCTTGAAGCCCTGGTTTAGCCCTGTGCATTCATCACTCTTTCTAGCCACAATTTGTCTCCTGATTCTTACCGGTCTTTTCATTGTGGGGGAAAGCATCAACCTCTTAACACTAAACATGGGTGTTTAGAGAGGAGGAAAATGTACCCACAGCAAGGGACTGCCATCAGAGTTCAGCTCTTCCTCTCAGACCCACCTTTTCATTCCCACCTAAGGTCACTTACTGGAATCGCAGTCATCTGCTCTCTTAAAATAGTGATGACTTTCCATACATACGCAATCTTAGATGACGCATTTGGAGGTCTGGACAGGGCTCAAAGTCTACGGAATTAAAGAGATTGCAGCACAAAGTCCACAGCTCCAAGAAGTATGTCTGCTGGACAAATGTATTTTCTTGTTTCAGAGATTTCTTAGTCCTCAGTGCTCAGTCTGGCTGAGGACAGCCCTCAGGAGCCTGTGGACAGCCAGTGCCCTCCTCACAGGCCATGAAATAAAAGACTATGAAAAAGTCTCCAAATCTTCTTATTGAAAATGTATTTATTTGCTTTCATTCCTGAAGGTTATTTCACCAAATGTGGAATTCTAGGTGGATAATTTCTTTTTTCCCAACACTTTAAATATGCAGGTGCACTGTCTCTCTGGTTCCTAACTTTTGAGAATAAATCTTCAGTCATTGAAGTTATTGTTCCCTTTAGATTAAGTGGTGTGTGTGTCCCCCGCCCCTCCTTTTAAGGCTATTAAAATTTTTTTTGTTATTTTGTTTTGAAGTAAAAGAAAACAACAGTAACCCTTATGTCCTTCCACCTCTGTTCTCATCACCCAGAAAATCCCCTTCTGGAAATCTCAGTTGCTTTTCCTTTTTGTCAAAGTCCACTATATTATAATAATTTTCTTTGTTCATCTACTTTGTTTCCATTTGTTCCATATGTAGGGAAAGTCATCTGATCTTTGTCTTTCTCCTTCTGACTTACTATGCATTGTATAATTCACTGAAATTGCATCAGTTCACTGGAAAATGTTAGAATTTTATCCTTTTTTGTAGTTGAATAGAATTCCAAATTATATAGATACCACATCTTTTACCAATCATCAGTAATTTAAGTTGTTTCCATATGTTAGGATTAATACATTTAGAGGGGCATATAGAAATCAGTGGTCTCTGCTGCTCACACAGGAATTCCCCTGGGATTGCAAACCTGAGTTTATGGCTAGCATATCTTTAATTACAGTCCTCATTGGTAGTCACACACTCTTGTGTTGATACACAGTTTCTCTGATCCCAAAGATACTGGCAGTTCCAGCCAATAAAGACATTGAGACCTTAATCAGCTCATCCAGTTGGCAAGTCAAAGTCCTGAAACTGTACCACCTCCCCAGAACCCCTTCTTTTAAAAATAAAGGCTCACCTCTGGTCGTGCACTGAATTCATAGCCATTCCAAAGCAGAAATTAGGAGCATAACCTCTTAGTGTCCCATTTTCAGAACTGAGCAAAGATAAACAGGTGATAAACCACAGAGTTAAGACAAGAACAGGACAAGTGAACAAGTATTATAAGGTTGCATCAGCAGAAACTGGAAAGCAGAAGCAATAGTAAATGTTATGTGGAGCCTGGAATGAATTATTTTAATCACTGATTATACCAAACACTGTATATGTTAGCAACCATTATGTATGTTAAATGAAAATTCTTCACCCCAAGAAGCAATGCAGCTTTTAACTAGCATATAAAAACTCATGTGAACTCCACTCTGGGCTTGCTCCTTTTTGACAATAGCCTCACAGAGTCCATGAGCACAAATAAACAGGGCACCTCCTACTTCTCAAATATTTCTTGGTCAATTTTTTGTAACAATTCCACAGTTGGAGGTGCTCCAGGGCTGCCAGGGCCACACCCAACTGTGAATGGAGACTGTTTAGTGCTGGGATCAAACCTAGGGGTTTTGATTTCAGGAAAGTGATCTATACTTCAGCTACAACTCCAGCCCCTATGCTTCTGCTGTTTTCATTGTACATATCTTTTGCTGTAAATGGACTCAACCATTAATGATCTGATGCCTATGACAGTCATGGAAATCTTTGTAAATAAATACTGATTAACTATTGTTTTAAAATTTTAGTTCGGAAGAGAGTTCTGGAGAGAGAAAACCATGAGTTGCAATGGTCAGGAAATGGACCATTTAAGTTAACCCTCAGCTTGCCCCCAACCACAAATGAAGCCAATGATTTTGGTGATAGGACACTTCCAACACAGGTAAGTAAAGGAGAGGAGCTTCTCACAAGGTGTGTGGGATAGAATCCCATTAAGAAAAATTGAATGAATAAGAAGTATAAATTGAATGGAGGTGAGAAAAGCAACCAACAATGTGAAGGAAGGGTGGTGATAGGAAAGGTATTTGGAACAATGAATGAGGGAACACTTTCTTTTTGATATTGGACATGCACAGAAAAAGTATCAGAGACATTTTTCTCAGGGAAAGAAATAATCAATGACTTCTTATTGAAACTTTTGTGTTTGGGTTTCAGGAACCCAAGTCTGAAGACCTTGTCAAACAACCAGGTAAGGTCTCCTTGACTGGGAAATTTTACTTTTATTCAAGATGGTACTTAAGAGATCATCACCCTGTTCTTGAAAACACTTTGCTAAGATTTTCATAGATAAATATAATATCATTTAATTCTTTTGTTCCTGGATAATCAGACGTGTCGGAAGAAACGGATACAATCCACTATGTCAATAAAAGATCAGAAAACATTGAAGATACCACAAAAGAACCTGTTTCACCTTTGGTTGCATTTGAAAATCTCAGTACCACGGTTGATGATATGATGTTGACCTTGTTAGTGGAGAATGTAAGTGGATTGTCCAGTGATGACTTTGAAATAAAAGTAATATGAGATTTTGAAGGTGCTGTAGTGACCTTTCAAAAACACATAGGTAAGACAGAATGACAATTCATTTACAAGTTTTCTTTGTACCATATTTGGGAATTTGTGACAAGCAGAGAGTCTGACTCATTTAATGGCTATTTATAGAAAATCAGAACTCGCATTTTTTCAGGTGTGTGGTGAGAATATAAAACAAGTCGAAAATGCCCTTTCCTGGATAAAGAATCTGATTATAGAGTAACAGTGTTCTTTTACCATTGAAGATGAGTGTATCAAAGACTTTGATGAAAAAGAATGCCAGGAATTGAATGAAGTACAGAAGAAATCAAATATTACAATCTCATTGGACCATAAGAAACCTTCAATTGAGGTTGAAGGAATTACCAGAGATGTGATGGAGGCTAGAAATAAAGTTTAATTAATAATCAAGAGAGTTATATTGGACAAAGAAGAGGAATACAGGACAGATTATATCAATGAATTTGTCGAATGGCAATATAGCTACCGCAATACTTTTTATCATTTTAAAAAATGACTAATTTGCAATTGGAAGATGCAAGGAGGGCAAGGAGAAAGACAATTGATATCAAAATTAAAGATCAGACCTACACAGTGGACTTCAGCACATATACTGCCAAAAATGCCAAAGGAGAGACTCTGCCTATTCAGCGCCTCACAAAAGCTGATGATGAGTCAAAAGTTCATATTCGTTGCTTACTGTTTCAAATCAACTTTAGACTTAAAATTGCTTTGTACATACACCAAAATTGTATTCAGATAAATAAAATTCCTATAGCTTTCTTGGAATCAAACAAAAACTTTGAGCTTAAGAAGTCCCGTAATGGCTGGTAAAGTATGATGTTGGCATGCAGCAGCCTGAAGATGACCAAGGTTTAGTTATAGCAGCCAGACCTTGCATGACTTCCCACCCCTCCAGTTTACTGGCTTCTCAGAGTCATTTCTGCTGGAAAGGAAATGGCTGCTTCCCTCAGGAGAGCAAAATCCCTGGACTTCCAAGTAAAGTGAGCCCACTTTACTTGAACAGAAGGGAGAAGAAGGGAGAACAGAACAGAAGGGAGAAGGCAGCAGGGGCATAGCACTCTCTGTGTGTCTAAATGACAACCAGGAAGGATCAGGAGCTTGACTGCAACCAGAAATCACTTCCTCCTTTAACCTCAGCAAAGGTTCCTTAGCATCCATATCAGGAAGAAACAGATTCTCTGAACAGATTTGCTCCCCCAAAAGGGGGTTTATCTTAGGCAGGAGTGGTAGTAAATGGGGAGGGTGCTTGCCTTGCATGCAGCCAACCCTGGTTCAATGTCCAGCATCACATGTGGTCTCCCAAGCCAGCCAGGAGTAAAGCCTGAGAACCACTGAATGTGTCCCCAAAACCAAGGGGGACTTATCTTATGTAGACACCATTCCTGCCCCGAATAATATAGTTCTCCTATACAATTAGAAAATTGACTTCCAGTACAGAAATGAATGTCCATCTCTTGTAAGATCACTGTGTATTAATGACAGCCCTAGTGGAATGACAAATCCGTATGGTATTTGTTTAGCAGAAGAGGAGGCAAAGCTGCCACCACCACCTGCCATAGAACATAACCTGTCACCTACCTAAATCCTATGAACAAGGTGAAAAGGAATAAAAGAACAGGTGGAGGGCCTTATGGTAGTGAGAATCCTTGCAAAAATAAAAAAATTATTTACACATTTTTAAATAAGACAATAGTGATTAAATATTGTAGAGAAAACATTTGTTGTCAAATTATTAAACAACAGATTAGCGAGTGAACATAATATATACTGAACTAACCTATAAACAAACTATATTCAACAAACAACCCAAAAACCTGGGCACCATCAAAAACTTAAGTTGCAGGTACAGAGGTTTCACTTTTCAGAATTATTCTTCCAGTAGATTATTTTAAGGAAGTATTAAGGTTGGCTCTGATATATGTTGTCGTGGTCAACACATAAAAAATACGTTTTCCTAGAAAGATAATGAACTTCTTGAATACATTGAGTGGGTGCTTAGAAAGCAAGAGAACAGTGACAGCTTTGCAAAGCACACCAGGAATGAGGACGGTGTAGGTGAGTCTTCCCAGGTGTGAGCGGTCCCTAAAATGTGTTCCTTGCAGTTGATATTCCTTCACACTGGAGTGATATGAAGCAACAAAATGTCTGTGTGGTTAACCTATCACCTAATCATCCAGAGTACAACATGGTGGCAAGTCAATTTAATAAGACACGTGCAACCTTCGTCCTAGAGAAGGTAAGCCTGCGGATGTAGGGTTTCTTAATAGTGGACATAGGTAGCATCATCGTACTGCATAAATATATTTTCATTGGCTTCCTGTGAAATACTTAGCAAAAATTAGTAGGTTTTGTGTCTGTATGATTAGCTTTTGGGGGTTGGGGCATACCCAGCTGTGCTCAGGGATTACTCCTGGCTCTGCACTCAGGGATCAATGCAGGAACAATATGTGGTGTCAGGGATCAACCCCTGGTTCCATGCAAGGCAAATACTTACCTACTGTCTATCAATCTGGCCTACAGAATATTTATTTTAATTTTTTATTAAAGCACTGTGATTTACAAAGTTATTCATTGTTTGAGTTTTAGATATACAGTATTGCAGCACTGATCCCCACCTCTCCCCCTCCCACCAGTGTCAACTTCCCTCCATCAGGGTAGCCAGGTTACTTTCCATATTCCACCTCACCCCACCCCCCTCCAGCTGCCCTCTTGACAGGCCCCTTTCTAAGTTCAGCGGTTAAAGTTTGAGTCTCTTGATTTCAGTGTTGTTGACTCTGTGGTTGGGATAATTGGTTCTGTCATTTCTCAACACCACCTTTGTACATGAATCTCCTGACCTGGCCCCCAGTACTTCTCACCTGTCTTTTTCTCCACACCTCTCCACACTTTCCTTCTCCTTGTTGTACTCTGGGTCCAAGATTGATCTAGGCACCCCCCCTTTTAAAACATTGAATTCTCTCATCTGGTTATTCTACATATCACTTCTAAGTGATATCAGTGTTTCTTCTTCTGGCTTACTTCATTTAACATATCTTCCAGTTCCATCCATGTTTCCATGAACTGCATGATTTCATCACTCCTAACAGCTGTGTAGTATTCCTTTGTGTATATATACCACATCCTAAGGATCTACTTACCTGTTGTTATACATCTAGGTTGATTCCAAACCTTAGCTATTGTCCTGGGTGCTGCAATGAATAATGATGTTCATATGTTCTTTTGAATGAATGTTTTTCTGTCCTGGGGCTAGATACACAAAAGCGGACTTGCTGGGTCATATACATAATATGTATTTTTAAAACAAATTTTATACGGCTGGAGTGATAGCACAGCAAGTAGGGCGTTTACCTTGCACATGGCTGACAGAGGTTTGCCCCTCTCAGAGAGCCTGGCAAGCTACCGAGAGTATCCCGCATGCACAGCAAAGCCTGGCAAGCTCCCTGTGGTGTGTTTGATATGTCAAAAACAGTAACAAGTCTCACAATGGAGATGTTACTGGTGCCCGCTCGAGCAAATTGATGAACAACTGGAAGTCAGTGCTACAGTGCTACAGTGCTATTGCTTTACAATCCAACAAGATTTCAGCAGAACTGCTTCACACCCTATAGATGAAAAAAGCCTTACCCCACACAGCACCAAAGCAGTACTGCCATCACCCTATCAGAATGACTGCCTTTACCTACTCTTCTCCCACCCTACCTTTCCTCTTCTAACCACTGAAGTCTTGGAATCTGAGAGTTATTTTTGTTGTGCTTTGTCCATTTGCTGTGGTTATTGTATTCTACCTACGAATGTAACCATAAGCAATAATTATCTTTTATTACTGACATATTTCACCTATCTTAGTCACCTCAGGTCTTTCCATGTGTCACAAAAGGTGCAGTTTCATCTTAGAGTAATAACATTTATTCTATGTTCATGTCGCCCTAATCATGCCTAATCTCCTGATCTCAGAGCTAAGCACGGTCAGGCATATTAGTAATTGGATGGGAATATATTAAAAGGTAATTAGATTTAGAGAAGATTAGCCAAAGACTCCACATCGGGTCCCATGACCTAGAATGGAACGAACAGGGTGAGAGACTGTCTGAGTTCATCATGTCAACCAAGACCATCCATGGTAATTCAGTTCCAGAAGGCCGAATCTAAATGTTGGACATGGGAGTCTCCTGGTGGACAGTTCCACAATGAAATTGACTACATCGTATTCAATCGATGGTCTTGCCTGACCAATGTTGCTGTTGTGCCAAAATTCCAAATGGAATCGAACCACCATCTCCTCCATGCAAAATTCTACTTCATAGAGTAGGGAGAAAGGGCTGCAAGATTTAAGAAGAGAACTCCCTGAATGAGCACCAACTGGGAGCTCTTTGGCACTATTGTGGCAACATGGCAAGATGCCATTGTTGACAACATTGACGAAGAATATGATCAACTGGTTCAGCACCTCCATGATTATGTGAGGAACACAGAGCGAGAGAAAGCCACAAACTAATCTTTGACAAAGGTGCAAGAAATGTGAAGTGGAGTAAGGAAAGCCTCTTTAACAAATTGTGCTGGCATCACTGGACGGCTACATGCAAAAAAATGGGCTCAGAACTCTGCCTAACACCACGTACAAAAGTAAGATCAAAATGGATTAAAGACCTCAACATCAGACCAGAAACCATAAGGTACATTGAAGACAAAGTTGGCAAAACCCTCCATGACATTGAGGCTAATGGTATTTTCAAAGATGCCACGCCACTGGTCGAGCAAGTGAAAACAGAGATAGATAAATGGGACTATCTTAAACTAAGAAGCTTCTGCACCTCCAAAGAAACAGTGACCAAAATACAAAGACAGTCTACAGAATGGGAAAGAATATTCGCCGAATACACATCTGACAAGGGGTTGATATC